ACGTTAAAATTATAAAAAGTTATGATATTGATTATGTTTTGAATTTAATAATTTAAAAGAATCATATATACACGTAAATTATTTGGAGCGTAGAAAGTAAGAATGCGTGTGTATGTGTTACTTAAAAAAAGCAGTAGAACATGAACGCAAGTAACATAAAATGATTTTGAGCTAATAATAATGTACCTAGAACACCTAATCTGTAATTCAGGGTGACGAGTACCACACCTTCCGCATGAATAATCGGGACGTAATACAACGAGGTACCGTCTCCCACAAAAAAAGCCTCCACCATGTATCCATACATCACAGCACTTTTCTTTGGAAATATTACATCGTTGGTATACACGTTCAAATAGAGACAGTCTTCTTCGCTATGACAATGTTCGTTACCATCTGAAGACAGACGTTCCGTTAGACGAAGCGTCTCTGTCGCGGACCATGGTTCTGGTGGTTGCGGATCCTACAATCAGGGTTTGTTATCTAATTAAAATTTTATAGATGATCAATTAGATAAAATGTGCAGCACTCTTATATTAATATAGATAATAAAAATATGTATTATTATACATATTTAAAAAATTAAAAATTAAAGGTAAAGTATGAATATATTTTTATATCCTATTTATGATTTAATTTTTTTATAAATGGGTCTATATAAGCTATCTTAAAAACAATATTATCCAAAATTATCTAGATAAATCGTCATGTAATTTTATCTTTTATCTAGATATATTTAAAAACAAAATAATCTTAATCTATCTAAAGGTGCATATAAACGAACGGTGACTCGGGAGTCTGGCTCGGGACATGGGCGCGCGCGAGCCGTGTGAATAGGACTTATAGCGCGAGAAGGCTTGGAGGGCGCGTCTTTTCGGTGATCGTCGATAAGGATATACGAGTCAAAAAAGAACACGCCGCTTGTCGCTTGTCCCGTAAACGCATTCACAAGGCTCGAATAGATTCGTGGTTGTGCAAAGCGCAATGGATTGGTCAAATGAATCAGTAGGGTAATTTTACATTTGTGAGTAGATATCACAAAATCTGCTGTTGACATTGTACAGAAAAATTGGAATTTACCAGAAAATTCTTGATTAAATCGTATAGCATGGCGGCCATATCGGTCGCGTTATATCGTAATAAGTCAAATAATTATTAAAAAATAGTATAAATCATTTGTCGTTCAAAAACATTATAAGTGAATATATATAAAACTTACATAGCCCGACTTTTATTAATGATACCATCCACCATCAGTCTTCGTTTTTTTCTTTAAAAATAATCACCACTCATTAATACGTAGCAAGCTGCTGCACAAGAAATGATGTGTTCTCGTTGACCAAGACATTTTTAAATGACAAATGGGTTTCTTTAAAGTTCACAGCACGACCAGCGGCGGCGGATTCGCGAATTAACGCGCCGTGAGAACAATAAAGGTTTATAATAAGACGAATGACGAGCTTGCACGAGCTGCGCGAAACTCGCCGAGTCACGCGTTGTTATTTGCACCTTAACAAGTAACATGTCACAACTGTCCGGAACCGAATTGATTCTTTATCAAATATGTTGTTAAATAAATAAATCTAAAATTTAGATTTTTAAATTCCAAATTATTTATACATTACAAAATACAAAAATTATTTATTCTATCTACTTAAAAGAGAGGGAGGGAGGGGAAGAGCAAGAGAGAGAGAGAGAGAGATGAGGAGAGAGAGAGAGAGAGAGAGAGAGAGAGAGAGAAAGAGAGAGAGAGACATGTATGCAGTTTTCTTCGTATAATTATTTACGTATGTAACGTTTCTGCCATTCTCAATCGCAACATTTTATTCTATTCGGTCGAAACACTGGTGTAAGCGTTGAGAAAAAAATGTTCGTTCTCAGAATAGCAGTTAAAAGAATTGACGTCGTTTGAACTTTTCGGCACTCGTTAGAGTCGTTGGTCGAATGCTTTGTTATGCTATTAAAAAATTAAATTTAATCTATATTTACAGAATAAATTATATATCACAAATTCGAGAGAAATTAAAAAAGGGCAAATTAAGAAGTTTTTGAATTTGATCCTAATTTAATTATCTGAAATCGAGATTGTTTGTAATCGCAAACTAAACTTTTATTGAAACTATCTGATTTTATACAAATTGTATAATAACACTTGAATAATATAATTAGGCTGAATATATATTATGTAAAAAAATCTTTATAATTTTTTAGATGCTTAAATGCAGAGCACTAAAAACTTTTTAAAATTCTTTGGGAGAGAATTACTGCAGTTTTTTTCTTTTTGCCAGTTAATAATATTAAAAAAAATATTAGGAGAAAAATTAACTTGAGGAAACATAAAAACTAACCTGAGAAAAAATACTACTATATGAAGAAAAATAATACTAATATTAGGAAAAATAAAACTAATATTAGGAAAAACAAAACTAATATGAAAAATAAAAACTAAATATTAGGAAGAATAATACTAATATTAGGAAAAATGTATTTTCGGCAAGTTCTAAAGTATTAAAAGTTAATATAAAATTGAGAAATGTGGCGCGCGCTCGTAGCGCGTTTGTTGTTCTAGTATTTTAAAAAATTAATGAGAAGGGAATAAATTATCGATTCATTTGTCTACCTCTATGGATATACCTTATATTGCATAAGGTCACGAGTGCATATTATTCTTGTAACTTTAAAAGTTTCTAGAAGTAATTATTTTCTAAGAATGCGTGTTTTTCTATAAAGATAAGTTTAAACAAAGTACTATTTTTTTTACATTCTATTTTTCCAACGTTCGAAAAGTAGGGGAGACTAGGGCTAAATGTTACATGGATAAAATGTTACACCTATAAAATTATCCAACAAACAGTTTGTATCATTGTCAAAGTGAAACATTTAACAAAGATGGTAATATTTATAATCATTATCTGTACTTACTTGAAATCTGAGATCACCCACTGGAGGTTTAGCATATGATATTCCACGAAAGGCATTGTAAGAACCATAGATGCTTTCCTCGACGATGCCGACTAATGTCCCTCCAAACACATTTACTTTTACTCTGTTCGACGATGCGGCGAAGGATAACTCTGAAAAATTTATGCTCAGGCTAATTTATTGCGAAAAATAAGTATTTATATATAAACATATATAGACATTTTCTTATCATGATCCAATAGCTGCGCGATGTCAAAATAGAGTTCGTATCTTGATAAACATGAAGACATTATGAATAAATAATTATTTTGTGCGCTACAAGGAAAACGTCGCTCTTATTAAATATATACATTGTAACAGCAATAAAACTACTATTAACAAATTCTTCGATATTTCAAACCAAATTTGTCTAGTTGCAGATAAAGAATCTTCTTATGTAACAAAATTAATTCTTTATAAAACATTTTGCTATCTGTACAACTAATAAATTTTATTACACAAGATATATGTATGTACAACATAACAACGAACGGATACTTTTCATGTCATTCCTTTGAAAAAGAAAAATATAAGAAAAATTTTAAGTGTTACTAAAAGTTACAACGTAGTTCCCTTGTAGAAATTTAATATTAGTAACGCCAATTAATTACTTATTTCGAGTACTTAAAATTTGATATACAGTAATTCAAGTACTCGAAATAAGTGAGTAAGCTCTCGAAATAAGAGATAAATTGGTGTTACTAGTGATAAATTTCTATAAGGGTTAGATTTTTATACAGGTATATAGAATTATATATACAGAGTATCTCAAAATTATATTCTTCAGCAAAAATGTCGAGAGGGATGTCATAATTTTTTCTGTTTCCAATTTTTACCATGTACATACATATATTTTAGTAACTAAATCTTAAATTAAAATTCTATTATAATAAAGAATGTAGTTTTGTTAATATTTCATTTTCACAAGGCTTAATTTCTAATTTATAATTATAGTAATAATGTATAATAATAAGGTATAATAAGGCTTAAGTTATAATTAAACGAAAAACTTAATTTTTTTCAATCGCTTATAACTCGAAAATTATTGGTGCCTCGACATTTCTGCCGAGAAAAAATCGTCTCCAAATGATCTCCATTGACACATCAATCTGTTTCTCACTGTCAGTCTTATGTTAGTTTGTCAGTTTTTGAACTAAAAGGTTTTTTTTCGGAGGAATTTAATTTTAGAGTTAGATTTCTTTTTATTTTATCTCATACTATAGGTCTGTGTAAGTTTCGTACAGTTAACGAATGGTTCTGTGTGGTAGAAAATTGTTCGAATTGGTATAACCTTTTGATAATTTAAGTCTGTTCTCCCAATCCCATCGTTGGTTTCCTTTAATAAGAATCTTCATTCGAGGTTTTTAATAATATTAAATAATCATACGTAGTTCCTTTTTCACTGGAGACCATGTAAAATTAGCTGAAGAAGGTGTTGGATTTCTGCAAAAATGTGTAATTGATTATTATTACGTGATTGTACGATGTCACAATAAATATTCGTATAAGAAATGTCAAGTCTACGGTACCCCGTTTTAGCAAAATTTGTCCACATCTGCGTTAAGTATTCCATAATTTTATATCCGGCGTACCACGTGCAAATGGTAACACACCGAATGTTTTTCCTATATGAGGATAAAATAAATAGCCAGTTCCTCGAAGTGAGATGTACCTGCAAAATATTGTTACGTAAATTAATTTCAAACGTTGATAATTTTTTCCATACATTACAAGTGCATTATAAAATTTATATTTAAATGTCTCTAAATTTTTTAAATCAAATTTCTCCAGAACTACGTGTGTCTTTTACAATCATATGTAGAAAAAAATTTCACGTTTACTTCTTTTCTAACTGTAATATTAATTTGATTCTTACATAGTTCTATTTAATTAACAACGCAATACCTGAAAGCGGTTTTGAAAAATATTTTCTTCACAGGAGAGGTTTCACTTTTGTACGAAAATTTGTACAAGTAAGTCGACTCGTTAACATTAGAATTCATTTGAGTATCAATTGCTTGTATAATGCCTCTATAGATATGCTGATCGCCGATAAAATCAGAAAGATAATTTATAGTTTCCTCCGACACTGCTTTATTACCAAAATACAATGATCGTAATTCTGGTACCGTGATCCCAAGTTGTGGTAATTGACGCAAAACTCTAGGATATATGGCTTTCTTGAAATCATAATCAATTTCCTTTAAAGTCTCGTTGTTTACCACTGAAACAATTTTTAACGATTTTAATATTAATTTATTTGATTCTATTTATTTTAATTTAATTTTAATTTTTAATTTCTATAATGATTTTTTATTAGGTAATATAAATATATATGTAGCTCTATTACGTAGAAACAAAACGGTTTTATTAATAAATAATTAATAATCTTTTTGTACATTTAAAAGTTATATATTGATGAAATCCTGAAACTTATTAATATGATTAAATTTATTATAACATTGTATGTTCATCAAAACATTTTCAAAATATTGCAGATCGTTTATCTATGAAAATTCTACATAAAACAGTGATTCATGATATACTAATAATTAATAATGTGTAATAATGGAAAGCAAAAACAAATATATATACTTACGGCCGACCACAAGGGCATTTATGAAAAAATTGCCTTCCTGGCTATTATATCCGAACATGATTGGCATTTCAATTCCATTACGTAATAATTGCAATGGATTTCTGGTAAAAAAGGATTCGATGACTTGGAATCCACGGTCGGCGTAAATGCAAGCAAAATATCTAAGCCAATCTGCAAGAACATAATATTCTAATAAAAAAAATAGTTTATAGTAATTCATCGAACATTATTATTGCAATAATCGTAATAGAGCGTCAAAAGACCTCCGCTGCTATCAATTTTCATCCGTCTATGTCTTTCAGAAATTTCAAGGCGTCTTCCGGATCAAAAGTCGCATTACCAAGCTTCTGGGCTAACATCAGACCGTTATTGATAGCATCGTCTTGTTCAGTGAAAGCCCAAGGAACTGTCATGACACCACTTTGACATATTGCTTTATGAAATAAACCTGTTAAGCACACATTCGCACATAATATAATTGTCACTTGAAGTTTAATACGACTTTATCATGAGATTTTTACATTTTTCCTCTTTGACTCGATATGACACATAAAAATTAATCAGCGTGGTTTTAATTTTCAATTCTCAATTTAGAATCGATATTTTTTACTGAAAGATGTTATCAGGTATCTTCTAAGTAATTTCTACGATGTTTTAAAACGTCGATATTATATAGTTTGCAATCGAAAATTTAAGTTAGAATGAAAAAAAAAATTTATTAAAAATTTTATGCTACAGCAAATCTATAAAATTTTTTAATTTTTTTGTGTAAAATGTGTTTCTAATATTCTTAATATATGTATATTAGTATTATGTCCTGTTGATTCGTACCTTTAGCTAACGGTGAAATAGTTAGATAATGAACCATCACTCCACCCGCATTTTACCAAAAATTGTGACGTTATCGGGATCTCCACCGAATTGCAATATATTTTTTAACCCATCTTAACGCCATAACTACATCTTTAAGCCCTGATTTCCTGTCGCCATTTCTTATAAAAATTGAGAAAACCTAAAGAGAGAATGAGAGAAACATGTCGTTAATACGTTCAGTAAAGTTTACTATCACGTCTTAAATATTCGTATTCGCTAGTCAGTAAAATAAGGAATATTAAATAGCCGACCAAATTAGCACAAATTAAAATTAATAAATTTCACGACGTTTTGACCATGTAGTTGAAATGTTTTTAACGTTCTTATTAGAAAAGGACCACACAACCACATATTCGAAACGTCGCAAAACTAAATAAATTTAAATTTTTTGCTAGTTTGGCCGATTATTTAAAATTCCTAATTTATTTATAAAACTTATATAAATATATAAAAATTTCAACGATTAAATAAACTGATTGCACGAATTTTTTAATTACTTATAATTCGACAATTGTTAATGAAAAAATAATTTATAAAAAAAGTAATGAAACGTTAAAATTTATAAAAAAGTTATGATAATTGATTTTTGTTTTGAAATTGGTAATTTAAAAAGAATCATATATACACGTAAATTATTTGGAGCGTAGAAAGTAGAATGCGTGTGTATGTGTTACTTAAAAAAAGGTAGAACATTGAACGCAAGTAACATAAAATGATTTTGAGCTAATTAATAATGTACCTAGAACACCTAATCTGTAATTCAGGGTGACGAGTACCACATCCTTCGCATGATATAATCGGGACCGTAATACAACGAGGTACCGTCTCCCACAAAAAAGCCTCCACCATGTATCCATACCATCACAGCATTTTTCTTTGGAGATATTACATTGGTATACACGTTTAAATAGAGACAGTCTTCTTCGCCTATGACAATGTTCGTTACCATCTGAAGACAGACGTTTCCGTTAGACGAAGCGTCTCTGTCGCTGGACCATGATTCTGGTGATTGCGGATCCTACAATCAGTGTTTGTTATCTAATTAAAATTTTATAGATGATCAATTAGATAAAATTTGCAGCACTCTTATATTAATATAGATAATAAAAATATGTATTATTTATACATATTAAAAAATTAAAAATTAAAGATAAAGTATGAATATATTTTATATCCCATTTATGATTTACTTTTTTTATAACTGTGTCTATATAAGCTATCTTAAAAAACAATATTATCCAAAAATTATCTAGATAAATCGTCATGTAATTTTATCTTTTATCTAGATATATTTAAAACAAAATAATCTTAATCTTATCTAAAGGTGCATATAAACGACACGTGACTCGGCGAGTCTGGATCGGGACTTGCCGCGCCGCGAGTCGTGTGAATAGACTTATAACGCGAGAAGGCTGGGCGCGGCGCGTCTTTTCCGTTGATCGTCGATAAGTACATACGAGTCAAAAGAAACACGCCGCTTGTCGCTTGTCCCGTAAACGCATTCACACAGGCTCGAATAGATTCGTGGTTTGTGCAAAGCGCAATGGATTGGTCAATGAATCAGTAGGGGAATTTTTACATTTGTTAAGTAGATATTCACAAAATCTGCTGTTGACATTGTACAGAAAAAATTGGAATTTACCAGAAAGTTTTTTAATATCGTATAGCATGTCGGTCGCGTTATATCTGTAATAAGTCACATAATTATTAAAAATGGTATAAATCATTTGTACGTTTCAAAAAACATTATAAGTGATATATAAAAACTTACATAGCCCGACTTTTATTTAATGATACCATCCACCATCGTCTTCTACGTTTTTTTTCTTAAAAAATAATCACCACTCATTAATACGTAGCAAGCTGCTGCACAAGAAATGATGTGTTCTCGTTGACAAGACATTTTAAATGACAAATGGGTTTCTTTAAAGTTCATACAGCACGACCAGCGGCGCGGGATTCGCGAATTAACGCGCCGTGAGAACAATAAAGGTTTATAATAAGACGAATTGACGAGCTTGCACGAGCTGCGCGAAACTCGCCGAGTCACGCGTTGTTTATTTGCACCTTAACAAGTAACATGTCACAACTGTCCGGAACCGATTTGATTCTTTATCAAATATGTTGTTAAATAAATAAATCTAAAATTTAGATTTTAAATTCCAAAATTATTTATACATTACAAAATACAAAAATTATTTTCTATCTACTTAAAAGAGAGGGAGGGAGGGGAAGAGCAAGAGAGAGAGAGAGAGCGAAAGAGAGAGAGAGAGAGAGAGAGAGAGAGAGAGAGAGAGAGAGAGAAAGAGAGAGAGAGACAGTATGCAGTTTTCTTCGTATAATTATTTACGTAATGTAACGTTTCTGCCATTCTCAATCGCAACATTTTTATTCTTATTCGGTCGAAACACTGTGTGTAAGCGTTGAGAAAAAAAAATGTTCGTTCTCAGACTAGCAGTTAAAAAGAATTGACGTCGTTTGAACTTTTCGGCACTCGTTAGAGTCGTTGGTCGAATGCTTTGTTATGCTATTAAAAAATTAAATTTAATATATATTTACAGAATAAATTATATATCACAAATCGAGAGAAATTTAAAAAAGGCAAATTAAAGAAGTTTTTGAATTTGATCCTAATTTAATTATCTGAAATCGAGATTGTTTTGTAATCGCAAACTAAACTTTATTGTAAACTATCTGATTTTTATACAATATTGTATAATAACACTTGAATAAATATAATTAGGCTGGAATATATATTATGTAAAAAAATCTTTATAGTTTTTTAGATGCTTAAATGCAGAGCACTAAAAACTTTTTTAAATTCTTTGGGAGAGAATTACTGCAGTTTCTTTCTTTTTGCCAGTTAACTAATATTAAAACTAATATTAGGAGAAAAATTAACTTGAGGAAACATAAAACTAACCTGAGAAAAAATACTACTAATATGAAGAAAAATAATACTATATTAGGAAAAATAAAACTAATATTAGGAAAAACAAAACTAATATGAAAATAAAAACTAATATTAGGAAGAATAATACTAATATTAGGAAAAATGTATTTTCGGCAAGTTCTAAAGTATTAAAAGTTAATATAAAATTGAGAAATGTGGCGCGCGCTCGTAGCGCGCTTTTGTTGTTCTAGTATTTTAAAAAAATTAATGAGAAGGAATAAATTATCGATTCATTTGTCTACCTCTATTGGATATACCTTATATTGCATAAGGTCACGAGTGCATATATTCTTGTAACTTTTTAAAAGTTTCTAGAAGTTATTATTTTCTAAGAATGCGTGTTTTTCTATAAAGATAAAGTTTAAACAAAGTTACTATATTTTTTACATTTCTATTTTTTCCAACGTTCGAAAAGTAGGGGAGACTAGGGCTAAATGTTACATGGATAAAATGTTACACCTATAAAATTATCCAACAAACAGTTTGTATCACTTGTCAAAGTGAAAATTTAACAAAGATGGTAATATTTATAATCATTATCTGTACTTACTTGAAATCTGAGATCACCCACTGGAGGGTTAGCATGTGATATTCCACGAAAGGCAATGTAAGAACATAGATGCTTTCTTCGACGATGCCGACTAATGTCCCCTCAAACACATTTACTGTTACTCTGTTCGACGATGCGGCGAAGGATGACTCTGAAAAATTTATGCTCTGGCTAATTTATTGCGAAAAATAAGTACTTTTATATAAACATATATAGACATTTTTTTATTGTGATCCAATAACTACGCGATGTCAAAATAGAGTTCGTATCTTCATAAATATGAAGACATTATAAATAATTATTTTGTATGGTACAAGGAAACGTCGCTTCTATTAAATATATAGATTGTAACAGCAATAAAACTACTATTAACAAATTCTTTAATATTGCAAACAGAATTTGTCTAGTTGCAGATAAAGAATCTTTTTATTTAACAAAATTAATTTTCCTTATAAATAATTTTGCTATCTGTACAACAACTACTAATCTTATTGTACAAGATATATGTACAACTATAACAATGAACAGATACTTTTCAATGTCATTTTTGAAAAGGAAAAAATATATTAGTTGCTATATATGGTTAAATTTTAAGTGTTACCAAAAGTTACAACGTAGTTCCCTTGTAGAAATTTAACATTAGTAACGCCAATTAATCATTTATTTCGAGTACTTAAAATAATAAAATACAATAATTTAAGTACTCGAAATAAGTGAATAAGCACTCAAAATAAGAGATAAATTGGTGTTACTAGTGATAAATTTCTATAAGGGTTAGATTTTTATACAGGTATATAGAATTATATATACAGAGTATCTCAAAATTATATTCTTCAGCAAAAATGTCGAGAGGGATGTCATAATTTTTTCTGTTTCCAATTTTTACCATGTACATACATATATTTTAGTAACTAAATCTTAAATTAAAATTCTATTATAATAAAGAATGTAGTTTTGTTAATATTTCATTTTCACAAGGCTTAATTCTAATTTATAATTATAGTAATAATGTATAATAATAAGGTATAATAAGGCTTAAGTTATAATTAAACGAAAAAACTTAATTTTTTTCAATCGCTTATAACTCGAAAATTATTGGTGCCTCGACATTTTTGCCGAGAAAAAATCGTCTCCAAATGATCTCCATTGACACATCAATCTGTTTCTCACTGTCAGTCTTGTTAGTTTGTCAGTTTTTGAACTAAAAGGTTTTTTCTCGGAGGAATTTAATTTTAGAGTTAGATTTCTTTTTATTTTATCTCATACTATAGGTCTGTGTAAAGTTTCGTATAGTTAACGAATGGTTCTGTGTGGTAGAAAATTGTTCGAATTTGGTATAACCTTTTGATAATTAAGTCTGTTCTCCCAATCCCATCGTTGGTTTCCTTTAATAAGAATCTTCATTCGAGGTTTTTTAATAATATTAAATAATCATACGTAGTTCCATTTTTCACTGGAGACCATGTAAAATTAGCTGAAGAAGGTGTTGGATTTCTGCAATAAATGTGT